ACGGGTGAAACCCAATGCTACCTTGAGGGTCGAGTAATTGGGGTCCCGCCACAATGTGAATTGTAATTCGTTTGTGGTGGTACCAACTCAACATATGTCAACCTTCGTAAAGGAGGAGTTTTGGCCGAATGTACCGATGTTTCCGAGACCGGCTACCGGATAGCCACGTTACGTCACACGTCGCAGACAATATATGTAAATAATTAGTGTTTTATTATACTATTATGTATGTTAGTCTTTAAGGTACGTATTTATGGGTATTTGTAACCTGATTGATACTTGGTTTTATTTATTATAAAATAAATAGACGTAGCAGCGCAGCTTGTATGAGTGCAGGCACGCCGCGCGCCGTGTACGGATGTACTAATTCGCATAAACATGCGAACGCTTCATTTCTCTATTCAATGTCACTCAGCGACGACATTTAGGGCTAGCACGACAGGGCGCGACTTGCGCAAGAGCGACATAAAGCGCGAGATCGCTAAGGAGATGTCTCATGGTTAGTCGGCTGAATCTGACACATTAAGGCAGTCTCCGTTTGGGGAGATGACAATCTTGTCAAATTTAGTGCTACCAGAACGCAGGCGTATCTTTTCTCCACTAAATGGAGTCACTTTCACTTAACTCCGACGTTTCGTGATAAAACCATACCGATAGCCGACCGTCTTCATCGACTTGGAATGGACCTGTCGTCGAATCTAAATTTCGGCAGATAAATTGAATACATGGCCAAAAAATGCAGCCAGGAAGCTTGGCATCCTTTCCAAGGTGAGGCGTTACTTCACACCGGGACAGTTGCTTCAGCTGTACTAAGCACAAAGGCTCTGCTAAATACTAACTGGCCACCTTGAATTCAATAGACAAGCGTGCTAAGAGGCTTGTACGTGACTCGGAATTAGTAGAGGCGAAGCAACAGAGCCTTGAATACCGCCGTACAGTTGCCGCTTATCGGTATTTTACAGGATATATCATGGAGAGTGTGCGATGGAATTGCATAATTTGTTTCCACCTTCCACTTTCCATCATCGGGGGACTAGACGTGTGCTGGGGTTCCATACCTATGTTGTGGATATTCCCTGGATTCGCACGAAGTGTTTCGCTTCCACATTTATATGGCGAGCGGCTAGAGAGTGGAATTCCCTGCCTGCAGACTTGTCCCCGAACGCTATAACTTGGACCTTTTGAAGGCGAGAGTGAATGGGCATTATTTAGGTGTGCATGCTACATCGATCCCATGGTCACTTTTCATCAGGTGAGATGGAGGTTAAATGCGCACTTATTTTTTATATAAAAAAAAGGAAAAATATCAGTAGTTCGCGCTTATGTCGATCTCGCGCAAGTCGCGCCCTGTCGTACTATCTCTACTACGCTACGAAACGCAAGTGCATTGCGAGATTTTGCGAATGTGTGCGTCCGTACAAGTCGCTCGACGAAGACGTGCACACACAAGCGCTGCAATATTTGTATGGAGTTACCCAACTTTAAAAGTTACGTTACCTACATTAAGTTGTTTATAAACAATACCGTGTTGTTTTCGCTGCTCTCATTCACATGAGGCTCAGTAATAATCAATATCAGTTTAACAACGTGTTTCTATTTTATAGGTACACCTTGTTCAACGTTACTAACAATCTTTACTAGCGTAGCGCGGAGCATTCGAAGTATTTTCGTTTTTAATTAAGTAATCTAATTTGCCTTATTAAAGACGTACTGCAACTTTATTTCAAATGAAACTATTTTTTTCGAATCTAAATGAGTATATGTTTTTGCAAAGAAACCGATGTTTCGGGCTCTTTGCAGGTCCTATAATCACGTAAGATAATATGTACGGAAACTTAAGCACCCTATAAACAAGGTTATTTTTAAAATACTTAAAACTTAGCTGAACTATATTACTAACATCATAAACAACAACTTCAGTTCCAAGACTTTTTACAAAACGTAATACATTTATCAAATATAATCTTTTAAGTTTTTGTTGTACTGTTTGACACTTTCTAGACCTGTATTAAGTAGAATATGTGCAATCATATAACTTTTTAATTAAACATTCGACGTACACGATGCCTTTCCAAGAATAAAAAAGCATTTGAAATTTGTAACGCAATAGTGTTTCATACGTATTGCTGATAATTCAAAAGAAGGTAACGAAAAAGTGGAAGCTGAAGCTAAATAAATTACATAAATATGCATACACAAATTTCACGATAGAGGTGAATGTTGCGCACACACGCACGCACGTGTAGGCAGGATATAAATCTATGTTATCGTTTTATTTTGATCAAGGAACAGGCTCTATTGTCTACCTACAGATGATTTTTTGTGATTTTAGAAGGGTACTACAAGTTAAAGTATTAATCCGTATGAGTAGAAGCAGTGGTCTGTGCATCAAGAAATGATACTCGCATTTGGGGGTCTACTCTCGATCTCCGTCCGAAACAATAATTTTTATATAAATTACTGCCAAATAAGCAATACTTGACCAAATGAAAAGACGCGTGATGCAAATGAAGCTTCATACTGCATACTTGTCTTTTTAATTTTGTCGAATATTACTTATTTGACAGTAATTGTTTCGGACGGAGATCGAGAGTAGACGCGTAAATGGTCACAATAATAAGCCTTAGACAAAGACATATTATTATTATTTTTTTGTTATTTATTTATTTATATATATTTATACACATAAAATTTATTTATATACATAAAAATCATACAAAACATGTTTTAATGCAATATAACATAAACTATGTCGTTTTCCCGTACATTGCTAAAATTCGTCGGCGTTAGTTTGGCTGCGTTTGTGTGTGTAACTGGCTCGGTCGTGTTATTAGATTGTGTGATATTATTTCGAGAATTGCGAATGATTTCGATATTCGACTCGTTCGTAATTACTAACCCAGTCATTCGAATGACAAATTAGTAACCTATTAATTTTCGTATTCGAGTGATCTGAATGATCATGCATTACTAATCCATAGATTCCATAGAGCATAACGACACTCGTCATCATCTAGCCCTCTCTAACATGTGGTAAATTCCGTAAACGTGATGGGGACAGGAATATTTTGATATGGACATGGTGAATGATCTGGTGGAGTTAGGAGTAGCTCCGACACAATAATCATTCGACTTGTGCACCCGACCGAATGGCTGGGGCATTCGACACGAGTCGATAGGAATGATTAGTGTTAATACCATTCAAAGTCGCGTATCGCTAAAACAAATTAGGTTAATTATATAAACTGTGTGCGGTGAATCAAATTTATTTTCGCAAATAACATTCTTATTAAAGGTAAACACTTCAAACTCACGCCTGTCTCCCATTGTGGTACTCGTACGTAGCCACTATAATCTTCTATCCGTTACATTTCTGATATATCCCTTTCGCCTCCTCAACTCGCGCTAATTAGTCTCTTGTAGTAAGAGCGCGTTCCCATTATGTCATAACGTTTTATTTATCGTTCGACAATTATCGCGTCTGTTCCCATTTCACGACTCTGTCGTGACTGTGTCGGACGTTTATTTTATCGTTGAACAACGACTCTCGTGTCTAGCTGTTCCCACTAGATCGTGACGACAATTTATTGGTTCACGGCAGCCGCCTTGTCGTTTGCACAACAGAATTATTTGAAGCTTGATGTCGCATTTTTATCGTGACGATTTATTTATCGTCTGACGATTGTCGTTCTAGCTCTTCCCATTGTCACGATAGTCTGTCGTTGTATCGTCAAAAAAGTCGTCAATTACGGTTAATCGTGTTGGTCTACGTGTGAAAGCCACGACAGTTTTAACTGCACGACTATCTGTCGTCACGACATAATGGGAACGCGCCCTCAGGGTTCTTAGTGATAATTCTCCATGCTGATACATATCATGATAATATGAAAAAGAATAAAATATCTTGATGATTTTGAACACTGTTTGTACAATTAATATGGTAACACGTTTTTGTTACACGTATTAACTTACAAAAAAATTGTTCCTTGTGATGGCACTTCACGTGACTATTTGTATTTGCGTATTTCATATATTTGGCACACAATCATCATGTGTAGATAGCATGTGTGACCAAGTATTTGCCTTGTTCGCCAATTCGACAAATACAGCAAACACTAAACTTGCGTTATCGCGCGCTGGTCGGTTTCTCGACACACATCAAAAGAGCCAAATAGTCAAATAAGCAAGTAAACCGTCCACACTACGGTCATATTCCTTATTTTAACTTCTTATTTGGCTCCATGTGTAACGTTCATATTTGTCAGTGTGTGCAAGTTTACCTGTACGTCAAATAGTAGCAGTAAATCTTCTTGTGGAAGAGTTCGTCCAAGGAAGTACTGCCACCTTATCTATTTCTGCCGCCAAGCAGTAATGTCAGCATTTACTGTGTTCCGCTTTTAAAGGGTAAGGGTGCTGGTGAAATTACAGGCATGCGGGACTTGTCAACTTATGTCTCACGGTGACAGGCGCAGTGGCAATGCGCCCCAGCGGGATTTAAAGAGCTGAGTGGCACTGCAACTGTTATGGACAGGCGTGTAGCTTACCATCAGGCGCGCGACTAGCTCGTCACGTCACTTGATATTATATAAAAAAAAAATATTTTTCCAAGTACATCAAACACCCAGTAGCGAATACAAGAGTAGCCATGTGAAGTACCGCCATAATATGGGCATCGGGCGGTCCGTGCATAAGCGAGACGCGTCACGTTCCTGATTTTTTGTTGCGATTACAGTGGTGTCCTCGCATCAAAGTTGTTGGTAAGTGTAATTTAATCAACTTAATACCATGTGTATGCTAAGCTAAATATTCGACCGGAATTGTATAACAAAAAGTTCTTGACGTCGGCAGAGGTTGTGGTATTCTCGGGGAATACCGCCTCTCGGTAGAAGGTTAAACTTTTAGGTCATTGTAAATGCGAGAATCTAAAATATATACTCATAGTAGTCATTAATTATGGATTCTTGGATTAATATCGCGTCTATCTTAGTTCTAAAACTCACCCTAGACTGGTAAGGCTGGTGGTGCTAGCAGCCAGAGTGTCAGTTTTCCCATGTGCGATGGCGGCGAGTTCGCGGTCAAGCATGTGGCTCTGCTCGAGTAGCTGACTCCATTGCCGCACGGCGGTTTGGGATGATGATAGCTCCTGGCGAAGTTGACGCTCGTCCATGGAGTTTAGACCGCTGCGGAGCGAGCTGTCCAGCCTGAAATTACATCTGTATAAAACTTGTGCTACAAGAATTGAATACTGGTGAGTATAGTCTGTCTTTTTTGAAGATGGAATAAAATGACATTTGCAGGGTTGCCAGTTCTCGCAAAATTTTTAATAGTCATTTATTCATTTATTCATTTATTCAGTATGGCGAGTGGGTTTACAGAGCTTATCCAATACACCCACTAGCTTAGGTTACATTGATAATAAAAAAAAATAAAAAATTAAAATTAAAATAATCAAATAGAATCAACATGAATTAAAAATACTATAATACAATTTTAAAATGTCATAATTTTAACCTACTGAATAACTAATGTTCTATAAGTAAAAAATAGTCATTTAAAAATATGTTTGCCTTCATAAGAAGTTGTCCAAAGGAATCGGCAAATAGATCTATGTCATAGCGGTCAGCAAGCATATCGCCGATGAGCGTGAGCGCCCGCACGGAGGGAGCGTGCGCAGCGCGAATTGTACGTACAAACGGCCTTTGCAGCAAGCGCGGCCGTCTGCGCGGAGGCACTATCCCAGTCATGTAGTTCTCGCAGACAGTTTTATCGATAGATTGCGAAAGGAGGTAAAATTTTGCCAAAGTGTCTGACTTGTGAGGGTTACGACGTTCTAATGATTACTAACTGCGTTGTTGCATTCTGTATTCTTATTTTGACAGTTGGTCTATAAGTATCGAAATCAATTTTTAGTCATACACATTTTAAAAATGACAGAACGATTTGATTATGTATATGAAATTCAAATAAAAAACTTCAAAATATGTCTCCTATTTGTATTTTTCATACTCATACTGCTAAATTTAGTGTATGTATGTATGGATTTTCAAAAATTACAATTCAAATAAACCTGTGCCCAGCAGTGGGACATATAATGGGCTGATGGTGATTCACATGAAACAAGTTCGGCTATTTATTTAATAAGCGTGACCAACATTCGCCGATAGTCGATATACTAATATTTATCGACTACAATCACTAGCTGTCATTTTACTTCATCTTCAAAAAAGACAGACTAGAGTTCTCCTGGTCAAGGTCAGTCAGTCGCCTTCGGTTCGGGTTTTCAATGGTGCTCTTTTGAAGTTTGGGATTGTTCAGACTCCACATGTTAGAGCTTATGAAATATTTATTTACATTTTATATATTTATTTATAGTTTTATTTTATGCATTCATTTTACTATAGATTTTGTATGTATTAGTGTATCAACATTACTTAATATATATGTATTCGTATGTACATTTTGATATAATACATTTATCTGTGTACTTATTGAGTATAGTAAGTAGCAGTCAATTTATTTATTTATTTATTTTTAGTGCCACACCAAAAACCAATTTTCCTCTCAGATTTTCAAAGGTTAGTTGGAAGAAATCTCATTATGGGATAAGCTCGCCTTTGTACACAAATATATTAAATTGTTTCTGAAAATTTGTAATTTGCTTTGTGGTACAATAAAATTAATAAATAGTTACTAATCAACGTGGCGACGAAACGACAAATAAGAAGACCTCGATGGCCCAACGGTTTGCACTGTGGGTGCTAAATGAACCAATTTGGAAAAAGAATGTTTGTAAATTGGTTCTGCGTCCTAATTTTGACTCAAATTGGAATCGAACCGATCGGGTAGTCTCGAAATCAGATGGGTTTCCGAGCGAGAAGATGAACCTGATTCCTACTATATCTTTCTAATTTGTGAGTTAAATCAACTATTGTTTCGATTAGAAATGTCAAAAGTTTCTAATCGGCCAGTTGTGACTCGTAATTATGCGCTTCGACTCGGAAAAAACGCAGTTTCCGATCGGGAGAGGCAATCAAAATCAAGCTGCTTGTCTGGGTAGCCTGTGTAGTATCTCAGAGTGAATTCCGTTGCACTGGTACTTACAACACAACTATAGAATTGTTTGGTTTGAGAGCAGATAATTCGTATGATATGATTTAAAACTCGTAGTAGCAACGGTGACCTACCGCCTATCAAGCATAGGAGAGGGTCATGGGTTCGAACCCGGCTCACATCTCTCACTTTCGCGGAATTTACGTGTGAAATATAATTTGAAATTCATCATGAGCTTTTCGGTGAAGAAAAACATCGTGATGAAGACTGCGCGTCGAAGAAAGTTCACAACCCTCGGAAAACGTGTGAATCGCCTGATAGGAGATCCAGCAGTGAGACGTATAAATGGGTTGACGATGATGAAATTGGTGTGATTATCTGGCACATTATTATTATTATAACGCACCTTTATAACGAAATTGATCCAACAAAAAATCTTTGGGAGTACAACTAGAAAGCTCTAGTTGTACTCCCAAAGATTTTTTGTCCTCCAAGCGAGGAAGTAGTGTCATGGAAACAATCCAAACGAATATTATAAATGCGAAAGTAACTCTGTCTGTCTGTTACATTTTCATACCTAAAGCGCTGAATCAATTGTGATGAATTTTGGTATAGAGATGAATTGGATCTTAGGAGAAGAGAATAGGCTACGTTTTGTCACAAAAATAAATATAAAACTGGGTGGAATAAGGGATGAAGGTTTGTATGGAAAAACCAACAAAACTATGTAAAAATTAGTATAGTACTCGTACAGTCGTTGAGTATATAACCAGAAGTAGATACGAAATCAGGACCATCCCTGACAACTCATCAGGCAAACGGGCGTTATATCACTTTTAAATATCAACCCTCGTTTGCGCTGAAATCGCAAATTAGAAAGCTGAAATAGTACAGCGCCAACAACTAACCTGTGTTTACGTCTCCGTATATTCCAAAAATATTCTATATTTATTGTAATAAAGATAATATCTTCGACACTGTTCCATTCAGTGGTGTGGGAAAAAACAGCAAAACATCTAATTACAAAACAAACGGAATCACATTTCATCGGTAATTAAATATTAAATATGTAATATTTGCCGTGCATCTATTTTTTAATTTTCGAACATGCTATACGGGTCATGTATAGAATATTCGAAAATTTAAAAAAATAATAATTTATTCTTTTTTAAGCCCTGTATCGCGGGTGCCATGGACACACAAATAGTCAACCACAAATTACACCCAAATTGACCCAACAAATCCAAACTCTATGGTCTTCTTTATCAAAGAGTTTGATGAACAACATCGTGTTTGAATTTGACGGATGGAAGGAAGGTGATATTGTTTACAGTGATGTACGAGAAATATGACAAGTGCTCGATATTGTTCTTACCTTTCAATGTAGTCGTCGACGCTTTGTAGACTGGTGATAGAGCGTGCCAAGTCATTATCCATCATCAGGTCGTCGGAGGCCAGGCTTGACAGCGTGTCCAATGAGGGGGTCCGCTCTGTACCGCCGCGCCCAAGTACTGTTCGACAAATGGTTCACGTTTCACAGTAGAATCGTTACAAAAATAAAGCTGAATCCTTGTTTTAACCGATTTAAAAAAGGAGGAGGTCCTCAATTCGGCTATATTTTTTTGTGTGTCTGTTACTCCGACGTTTATGAACTGATTTCGACGATCACTTTTTTGTTGAAAAAGGGGTACCTCAGTAGTGGTCTTAAATTTGAAGGTATTTCACCTTTAAGGGTGTCAAATTAGGGGATGAATCCAGTTTAGTGAATATCACCCATTTTTCGTAAATCGATTTCGATAAAACTTGGCCCATGAAAATTTCAATAAAAGTTTTTTTTTGTAATGTACAGTGACGGGACGAACAATTCGTGCGCCTGCACGCCTGGTGGTAAGCGACACGCCTATCCATAACAGTTGCAATGCCATTCAGAGCTTTAAATCGCAAAGATTTTAAGAGCACTGCCGCTGCATCCGTCACCATGTGACATACGCTGACAAGTCCCATCCCACAAGTCCCAAGTGCCTGTAATTTCACCAGCACCCTTACCCTTCAAAACCGGAACGCAATAATGTGAGCAACATTATTTTTTAATAGCAGTAAAGCTCCTTGTGAAAGAGTTCGTCCAGGGAAGTACTTTACCTACTTCTGCCGCCAACAAGCAATGTGAGCATTACAGTTCGGTTTTGAAGGGTAAGGGTGCTGGTTAAATTACAGGCACATTTGATAAGTCCCTATTGTCAAGTTGTGTCTCAGGGTACGGAGCGCAGTGGCAGTGCCCCACAAAACTTTACGATTTAAGGATCTGATTATACTGCAAGTATACCTTGTAAAATCTATACACTTTTTTTTTATAATAATAATAATAACGCACACAATCAATATAGCCCCGCACTAGGGAAACCCTGTGTCGCGGGTGCCATGGACACACACATAGACAACCACGAATTACACCCAAACTCACGATAGAAATAAATGTAGGCCATACACATATTTCTCCCGGCCTGGGAATCGAACCCAAGACCTCTGCATGGCAGTCCGGCATGGTAACCGTTCGGCCACGGAGGCAGTCAAACAAAAAAATTAAAAAAAAGACACTGTAAAATCAAAAACAGTATTTTGGGAAATAATTTTTAGTTTTTGCTTTGATTTGTACGTACGATATTAAATAAGTATTTCCAGCTATTATAATAATATATAATAATAATACAGCTACTATTATAATAATAATTTCACTTTTCAAAATAAGCTATTTCTATTGAATATCGACTAAATTTCTTTTTCCTTGATAACAGCCAAAAGATACTTGTTGTAATGATCTTACAGTGTTTTGGTTTGACACGATAAAACTGTTATGGACAGGCGTGTCGCTTACCACCAGGCGCACTTGTTCGTCCCGTCACATAGTACACACGTACTTATTCTCTTGTACACGTATAATTATTAGGATTAATTCGTTTAAGTATTACAAGTTACTTATTCATATTGTTTATTAGGATTTGGTACTTACATTTGCGATTCCTCTGCACCAATGGACTAGACGTGATACGTTCCCTGGACCTCCTCAGTAACTTGCTAGCTTCGGTTTCCACTCCCTTGCTGGATAGGTTGCCTTCAGTATTTTCTGTGATAAAAAGTGTAGGTAACTTAGCTATGAACAATTAACACCAATCATCGATATAACCAGAAATAGAGACAAAATGTCATTTAATTAGTTTGAAAACTATTCGGCCATATCATTACGGTGACAACTGCTCTCCGATTGGCCAGTACGAATTCGAAACAATTGACTGGTATCGTCAATTGTTTCACTTCAAATCGACAAGCTTAACTTGAGCTTTGAGAAAAATTACATAATTTAATATTAAATTACCGATGAAATGTGACTCTGTTTCTTTCGTAATTAGATGTTTTACTGTTTTCCCCACACAGTCTAATGGAATAGCCCCCATTGTTAGAGATATTATCTTTGTTACAATAAATACAGAATATTTTTGGACTAAACGAAGACTTACACACAGGTCAGTTGTCGGCGCTGTACCGTTTCAGCTAATTTGTGATTTCAGCGCTAACGAGGGTTGATATTTAAAAGTGACATAAGGCCCATTTGCCTAATGACTTGCCAGGGATGGACTGCCCTTATTTCGTCTCTATCTCTGGTTATATACTCGAAGGTCTGGCCAACGGGACGAATAAGTCGTGCCTGATGGTAAGCGACACGCCTGTCTGATCTGAGGGGTACTGCCACTGTGCCCGTGACCCTGAGACATAAGTTGACAAGTCCCATGTGCCTGCAATTTCACCAGCAATCTTACTCTTCCAAATTGGAACGCAGTAACGCTCATATTACTGCTTGGCAGCAGAAATAGGTAAGGTAAAAGCTAAAGTCACTTCTTACTTCGACATTTAAATAGGCACTCACTCTACATATGCCAAAAAATACCCTTAACAAGGTCATTTCCAACCCTGTACCGCTCACGGAGGTCATTTGTAGCTGATAAGTGTTTGTAATGTATAAAAGTGTAATTCGAGATATTAAGTAAAGCGTTGAACATCAAGCTTAAAGAATGTTAATACCATCATTAAAGTTGGAAAGGTCAGTTATTATATAGTTACAAAATGTTTTCTTTATCCAAATTTCACATTTTTAATAAAGACCCCGAATAACGTTCTCTGAAATAGGGCACTGAAGTTTCGTTTTGTTCACTGATGATTTGATACGAAATGATGATTGAAAATAGTAACACTGTTCGTAGTCTGAAGTTAGCTAACGTCACTAATTATTATTTAACATTAGAACTAAGTTCAAACTCATGGTACCACGTTTTCGTTTAACAAAGGTAAACGATTCTTTTATGGGAACTGTATACGTTTTTACAATAAGATTCCGGAGCATATATTAAGTTTACCATTTCCTAAGTTTAAAACTTACATTAAAAGTGTTTTAATTGAAAAGTCATAAAGAAAGTGATAAAGAAAGATGTATGGAAAGACAACGTGAGTCTAGATTCTACACAAATATGATTCAAAATGTATTTTTTAATACAGTTGCTCAAAACGTGGCATTTTTCGCTCTACAAATCGTGCCGAAAGTTGGAATTTTCGCACTAGTGCTTTTTACTTTTCCATTTTTTTTTTAATTTATTGTTGTTTCAAATCTTAAGCACAAAACTAAAGAAGTTGTATATTTATTTAATATTTATGTGCTTTGTGACGTAAGTCATTCGTCATTAAAACTTATATTTATTTACAAATACTATACATATAATGAACGTATCGAGTGGAGGTCTCTGCCTACCCCTGAATGGGTAACAGGCGAGATTTTTATGTGTATATTTGTTTTATGTATTACAGATAAATTGTATCTCACTACCGTGCACGGGTTCCTAAAGAAGTTTAAACAAAAGTACCAGGACTTCATAATAAGAAAAGTGGTTACAGACCGATATTACAGAAAATAAACAAAAACAGCACGTTAGAACTATATTTCCATAGACTTTTAAATAATGGTTGCAGTGGTTGTATTTCATTATTTTAATTTACTAGCAGAAAATTAGTTTTTTTTAAATACTGTTTTATTTTACTTTCAATGTAGTTTTTTCGCAAATATATTAAAAAACGTCGTTTGATATACGTGCGGATTTGTCATTTTCACTTGTCTCGCGCCTAGAAGCCTCGAGACTCGTGAATAATGACTAACTTTCCGCATTTATATCAAAAATAACTATTATACAGTTTCTTGCTTGTTCTTCTCAGGGAGGTCAGCGTAGTGAACGAGTAGTAGCTTAAAAAATGACGTTTTCAAGTGTAAAAATTTGACCTATGGAATAAATGATTATTTGATTTTAGTTTTCACTATTGACCGGTTAGGTGTAATGTTAGAACACATTTTCTTTCCACGTTCAGCGACTACTCCGAGTACTAACCGGCTCTTGAAAGAATATCAGGCTATCCCGCCTTCATTAGAGGACATCTTAAGTTGTTGCCAAAATTTCATCCCCATTTAAATCCCCATAAAAAGTCGGACTTACAACATAAAAAGGACATTCTTACGCTACAACCAACACAAGTTAAGTCAAGATCTGGCAATTTGCCATTCAATAAAATTATTGCAAAGTAATATCTAAGATCTGGCAGTATGGCTTAGACGTCTTAAGGACTAATAACCTACGTATAATATAACATTGTTTACTTATCTAGCAGGTATGGCGGGTAATCCACATTTTTGAAGAGGCCTACGGCAACCAAGCCTAGGTATATACTCGTATACTTGGCTACTCTAATATAATGCAGACAACTTACTTCGGAAGAGCAGGGCCGGCTGGTCAGCGATCTCATCGTCGAAGAAATCACGTCCATCGGACAGGGAGAGCTCCCCTGATGCATGAGTGGGAGTGCCAGGTGAGTCCGGGGTACGATTCTTGCTGCCTTCGCCACTGCCTTCTGGGCTGCGGGTTTCACTGTTGAGATATACATCATTAAAGGTAAGTAAGGAATTAAGGATAAGCACTTAACATTTGGCTTTATTAGTACCTCAATAAAGATACTATAAATCTATAGCAGAGTATCGAAAGCGTCTCGCAGATCTCGGCAGAGATAACAGCTACGGGTCAAGGATATTATGATTGGCCATAAGAAATATTCTCAAGTGTAAGGTCTGTATATGTTAGCCGTATTAAACGGTATAGGGAGACTCAAAGCAGTAAACTTCAGGTCTTACGATCGAAGCTCTGTAACGCGAAATAAAGTTAAAAAAAAATCGCTTTCTGTAAGGAAAACCGATTGCCTGCCTCCTATTTTGAATACCAGAAAAAAAACAGTATTTACTTACTTGTCTTCCTTAACAGGTTGTAGCGCAACTCCATCCACCTCCTCCTGCTCAAGCGATCTAGTCTTTGTATTCGCCGTCTGGTACGCTGAACTCGATACCGTCGGATCCCTTTCCACGTGCAGATCATTGTTCGAATCACTTGTACTGGTCGAAGAAATTAGACTGTCAGCTGGCGAGGTTTCATCATCTAGAAGACTGTGGGTGGAAGTCTCGAGTGCTGACATGTCGAACTTGGACTCCTCAAGCGTCAGCGTGAAGTTGTGATGGTCACCGCTTTGATTAGTGCACGTACTCGTGGTGCTATAGTTTGAGCTCGACATTGATCCTAGAGAAATATAAGAAAATTAGATGCCTTTATGAAGTAAAACCCTATTCGTTTAGCTGGTATAACACTAGTGACGCTGTACAAGAAGATTAAGGAGACGGATTCAAAAAGGACACGATAGCATTTATTGCACCGATAAGACTATAGCGTGTAAAAGAGGAGGCCTAGACCCAGTAGTGGGTGTTAACGGGCTGAGATGATGATGATGATGAAGACTATAGCTCAAAAAAATAGGCGCGTGAAAAGGATCCACCCCGTACGACCTACCATTCCTGTCCTGCGCACCTGGTGAACTCTGAGAAACAATCGGCTAATACTGGCACGCATTATAGTGTTTGCCATCGATACGATAAGATGAAAATTATAAAGTAATGGCAAAAAATAACTAACAAATGGCAGAAAATAACTAACAGATTTAAGGGAGCTGCAACAACAAAAGCAGTGTAACTAATAGTGGAAGAGGTTTTAGCCGTCACTGAGATTACATCCTCGTGAAGTCGCACATATCATTTGGTCCGGAGCTATGAATGAATATAATCCATGAAGATTTCCTCCTTCCCAAGCCAAGGAAACTAGACTGTACCTTTTAAAAAGAATATGTAAGTAATCTTAGAATATTAACGCATAGAAACCTAGTCCGCACACACTAAGTGAGGCAAATTGAAGCGCGCCCAATGGGCCTACACGAGCGTGCTGGCCTTCAGTGCTCGAAAAATGACGAAATGTGCGGTAAATGAGTGTAAAAATACGTCAGACAAACATAAAATAGATACTAACATCACATTCCACAAGGAAGTAACGCGTTTCAACTTGTATTTTTATATAAATATTCACTAAAACCGAAAATTAACCTACTACTAAAACTAGCCTACATGAATTTGATTTTTGCCTCATTTGTGACAGTTCGTTTGATATGAAACTATCATTCTATGCGTTATTATTCTAAGTAAGTAACTATGATAATATCGATTATCACTGGCTACAGGTTTCTGCCCCTGGTTAGTCAACCCGTGATCATGGAGCGTGTAACTGTTTTAAAATATACTAGCAAATATTTTTTGGCAGTTTTGCTGGAGTTTTTATTCAAGTTAGCAACCTGAAAGACCTAATCGGATAATGGTACCTATGGTGTGACGATTTATTGATTTGTGGTTTTTATTTTTAGGTTCAAGCCTTTGTCACGCTAGTTCTCTTTTTGTTTTACCTTGATTTGTAACTTACCCATCATAGTGCCACGTAATGAGTCATGTTGGCTCAAAGTAATAGACTTCATGAGAAGTGGGTGGGGCACAGATGGCTCATCCGTGATCACGATTGTCTTCCTGGGCATTTCTTGAAGCTTCTGAGCCTCCTTTATCTCCAGTTTGGACTTCTCATCTTCGCAACTCGAAACGCTTAGTGCGATGGATACGTCGTCTTGAGATCTAATGAAAAAATGGTAAATATGATTACATGAACACTGTGATAAGAAACAGGTATCCAAAGTTCAGGCGCCATCATACATAGCGCATCACTTTGGAATTATGTTACTATTATAATCAAATTTAGTTTATGCCTGCAAAAAATTGTAAAAAAGGGAACTATAAATTTTTTCATCAACGAATTAGATTTTGCTAGGATTATAAACGTGAAATACAAACGACGTTAAAATAAGGGTTTTCCATTAAGCGCGGGTAAATTTTGACAGTTCATAGCGGCCATGATGTTCTGGCTGCTTTTGTTAAATCTGTTGTTTATTTTTCTGACTGTCAAAATCGGGTAGATTTTGACAGTCAGAAAAATAACTTGCAAAAAAGCACTTGATAGAAAACCCCTTATTGTAACAAAACTTTACGAGCACATGCATACATTCATCATTTAGACAAAAGCAAACTACTTAAAAAAGAAAGTCCACATACATGCGTTTGTAGGTGTACCTGGTAGCCATCGCCTCACCCGCTGCGTGGCTCTGCCAGGCGCCGCTGGCAAAATGGCTCTCTTCGCTCTTGCACGATGGGCTGGACTCCTTGCTTGAGTTGACTGTGTTTGGTGATGCCACGCCAGGTGGAGATTTTATGAACGAGTTCTGGAAATAAGGAAATTGAGCCATTAGCAAAGTCGACATGTTGATTTAAGACTTATGGATTCTTTTTGCGTAAGGGCAACGGCGGTCGGTAACGGCCGGGTGTCCTGATGGGTAGTTTGCTTATGCATTTAACGGCTAAATCGTATTTCCATAATAAAAAAATAATTTTTTGGAATATTTTTTATAATAAAGAAATAGATTTCTCGAAGTGGCGCTACGGCAAAAAATTATTCATTAAAAAAGATCTATAAATACAACAAGCACATAAAAAAATCGTGGTACGTCCGCTAGAAGTTTGCTAGAAGGCGTTGGTTCTAATCCAACCAGCTCGAAGGATTTTTTTGTAAGTGTTCCATCTTTGTATTAACCATCATTCATAATTTCAGCCTGCTTGCACCCACTGCTGAGTATAGGCCTCCTCTCCGTTGCTCCGTTCTTTCCAGTCCCTTGCGAGTCGTGTCCAGTGGTTCCCAACTATGGTCCTGATGTCATCAATCCATCGGGTTGGTGGTCTACCTTTTGGTCTTTTTACGTCTCTTGGTCACCATTCAGTAACGGCTTTCGTCCATCTTCCATCGTCCGAATCTTGAGCACGTATTCTTTCGTGAGCGGCTATGTCTCTGGATTCGTACCAGCGTCTTCCAGCAAACCGTGCTAAACGCTGTGGCAACTAAGTCACGTAACAAACCATGGGACCTTACCAATTTTTTCTATGTGCTTGTTGCAGATTGTTGTTTTGGTTTTTAATGACTTTTTTTTGTAAATTACATAACATGATATTCAGTAATAGTATAAATTTTAACGAGGGACTAAAACGAGTCAATGTATATCCGTGGCGGTTAGGTTAGGTTAGGGTTTATATTCGCTTTAAGAGCGGTTACACACGGCTACTTTTAGCAGCGATGCAAACGCGATGCAAACGCAATGCAGTAGCTAATAGTCTACCTTTACACACACGTGCGACTTTAAGCAGCGAAGCAAACGCGCGACTGCATCGATACAAACGTGCGATTGCATCGCTACACTTGCAATTTATAGGCGATTGCATTGATGCAAACACACGTTTGCATTGATACTAACGCGCGAATGCATCGATGCATCGCTACTAAAAATTGCCGCGTGTGACCACACTTACTCCCAAGGTAAAATCATAGCTTTTCACTTCGATCTCGAAAAAAAAAATTTCAATCGTTTTCGCTCTACAACAAAATTACGAACCAAGATTCTGAAGTTTTCGCGGTATTTTTTTTTCCAACCAAACACAGATACGACAAACGCACTAAGGCGGGAAAATAATATGGCGCCACCGTCTATGCGGGAAAGGCACGGAGTTAGTTCCGAGCGTACAACTGACTGTTTGAGTTTGTTCACTCGAAGTATATTAAAATAATTAGGTACTTTTTACTCCTTGTACTAAAAAGGATGCACTTTACTCCCGCTACGTAAACCTATAATGACGTACTTTTAGAGCATAACAAGTGAAAAATAAATATTCCATATCTATGTCTGCTTGATCTAGGTCCCAAAGTTTTGTGCTAGGTTATTGATAAGTGAAACTTAATTTTTATGTGAAACTTAGCTAAACATTTTCGAATATTTATGGTTTAGGTAAACCTGTATTCAAAATATATATAATTTACCTGCTTATTCAACATCTCAGGTTGTGCTCGATCCAAAACAAATTTCTCCTCGTCCTTATAGTCTAGATTTTGGATGCGGCTAGGCCTAGTCCTTGTGCGGTATCTCTCTAGAGTCGACATGGGAGACTGGCGATCCACGGGAGTTGGAGTAGGCTTTGGTAGGATAGGGGACGGTGATCTGTAGGTGGGAGCGGGGGTGGGGAAGTCATCTTCAGGAGAATCCTGCTCGTCGAAGGAGCTAGGAAGTTTAGGAAGAGGAATCACTGCGTGACCGGTTACTACTGCATCATCTGTAATGTTAATGAATTGGTTTATTTTTATTACATAATTGAAAAACTAAAATATTATACTAAATCTCTACTCGGTACGTCATTTTCACCATAGGAGAAAGAAAAACAGATTGAAAAAAAAAGAAAACCGTGTTGTAATCTTCTTACGTTTATTTATTATTATTATTATTGTAAGTGCTAGTTATTATTTATTGTAGTTTTACAAAAGTATACAAGTTCATCTTATTATTATATATTATTATCAACATGACATTCTAATAATGCATGTATTTATTATTATTATTTATATATTTATTTTATTAATGATTAGTGTGCTTATAACCGATTTCAAAAAAAGAAGTAGGTTCTCAATTCGACTGTTTTTTTTTGTATGTATGTTACGCGTAAACTTCGGTATATGTGAACAGATTTTCATGATTCCTTTTTGTTGGAAAGAGGGGTACTTTCATAGTGGTACCATTTCATTTTGAAGAAAATCATCCACCTCTAAGGTTGGCTGTTGAAGATTCATTTTTATAAATAGCGCCTAATTTTTACTATAAGGAGCAATTATTTTAATGGTTAATTTTGCTATTCTCCAATTCGTTTTTCTCTCTCTATATACTTTATATCTCCTGTGTCAAGTCCTGTATAGTGGCGAACTAGGGGATATTTCAATAAAACTTGGCAAATAGACGTAATTCCACGTACTTTTGAGTTCGGTTTCTTTAGTACTATGTACTGAGATTATTGCAAACAGTTCAATTAGAAAATATTCTTTGGTTGCATGCGCCTTTTCCGGTGCTTAAATTTCTATCCTAAGGTTGTCTGGAAGAAATTGCTACTTACCAATAAGGCCGTCTATTATTATATATTAGCTTACTCTGTGATACTTACATTACTGTTTTGTGTTGTCATTGTAATTTTTAATGTGTGATAAAGAGTATTTAATTAATTCATTCAAAAACACTACATTCCATAATGCTGCTAATCAATGGTGACTGTGATAAAACTTTTATTATAGTGATCAACGTATCTCTTAGTTAAATTTCCCTTTACCCATGATATCAAGGTCGGCCACGAGCAGCTCTCGCAGGTGGAAGCTGTGCGAATCGCGCATCACCATCTCGAGGTTGCGCGGGCGCCGGCGCGAGCGCGGAGATCCATCCGCCTCCGCCCCTGTCCACACACCAGAGTCGGTAGATACTGCTGACCCTGCTCCTGGAACAAATTAGGATCGTTAGGACAATTAATTTACTTACATTTTAATTTGTACCCTTGACATAGTAAAGCTAGATATGATCATACGTCTTCTTCTACTTCTTCTTCCACGCCGCAACGCACATTTATTTTTAGTGCAATACTCTTTTTACGATCCATGCTACTACCTAACTTGCTACGCATTGAAGAGCATATGAATGCTTGAAAATATTTAAAAAATTGCTTCACATCTGGCAGAACGCATTAATTTCCATAACTTAAAAACATTTAATAAGTATAAATTATTCACAAGGTGTTGAGAATAATCGATGCTTATTTTTCGAAGTTTTTTCCAAATGACTTATTAATTTTGCGTTACTACTAGGTACGTTATTTAGCCACGTAATTCAAATTAGAATCTTCAATTCAATATTAACAACTTATGCAATCGCACTCTGCAACATTACACCTCTTTACACTTACCTAATTAGTAAATTAACTATACAAGCGTACATAATAATATCGTAATACTATCTTACCTTCCCTCCAGCCGTCAGCTTTCCTAGTGTTGTTCACCACCTGGGAAGAAAGCCACCAATTACTCGCTTTCACCTGACTTTCACACATTATTTCAATAAAACGTTTTTATAGTGTAATTTTTATAGTATAATACAAGATTAATTTATGAAAACAACTGAAGTTTGCAGTCCGCTTTGGTCTAAATTTGAAATTCAGAACACAAATTTAAATTTATAATTCAATTCGAAATTCAAAATAGGTACAACTTCAAATTGAAAGGCGGGATAATTATTTTACATACAAAATCGTAATACCAACTTTAAAATTATATAATATTTTTTTTTTTAATTTCAGAAATGTATAAGGAATGGCATGTTTGTGCCCCGTGGATTATTATCATTTAGCGGTATTTTTGTGGCAGTAGATTTTTCATCACTGGTTTACTCTATATCCATTGGCAAACGTACTCAAACAGTAATTAAAAACAACAACACGGACCATTATCGACGCTATCCGAAGCACATAGCTCAGAACGAAAGAATCCTTTACGATACGATACGCGATGTCGAAATGTCGCAGTTTAAAGATGTTAGTTAACAGTTTAAAAATAACCGACTTTCTCCACATGAGATTGGGTTGTAAGATTTTATCTTAAGACTTATTTTATCAAATCATTCAAGTGACTCTTCGTCTAATTGTGAAGTAATGGTTTTTTTATTTGTTTTTTTTTTCCAATTTTCCTCACGACCGCGTTAACTTACTCTAATTCGCCAGATTGAAATCACTTTTGTTTATCACAAAATTGCTAGTTTATCCATCTTTGATTTTAATACTTTACTGTGATTTTAAAACAAAAGTTTTTAGTGCACACACGTCGTGTCTCGGTGTGGAACGGAGGAAAAGTGTTCGTATAATTAGTGTTAGTGTTTTAATTAAGACGTTGCGAAATGCTGTACGCAAGAGCTAACTTTATAATTATCTTTCGAATCGTCTTCAGATAACAATCCTCGTAAAATTCAAATTATCGACGAATAACTTAAATGCATTCAATTTATGATTCTTAGGTCAATTATGTTTAGTGTTAGCATTGAAAAATAAAACGAAAACTTATGGAATCAGTGGATACTGAAAGGTCTGTGTACCGAAACAAAAGCAGTAGTGTGAGTATTACTGCGTTCCGGTTTTGAAGGGTACGGGTGTTGGCGAAATTAAACGCACTTGTCAACTTATGTCTCAGGGTGACGGGCGCAATGTTAGTGCCCCTCAGATCATTATAATTGAAGCTCTGAGTGGTACTGCAATTGTTATAGACAGGCGTATCGCTTGCCATTAGGCGCACACTAGTTCGTCCCGTCAATTAGTTATTATAAAAAAACTAAAGTTTATTTCAGGCTAATTTTCTCTACCTAACTCCGGAGCCAATTTCTATCATTTAAATAGATATTGAAAAATATTATCATGAAGTATTATTTCATATTCGAGTGTAGTAACCACAAATATTATTTAATATTGCACGATAATTTACTCGACACTGAAATAATAAAAATTGCCACTAAATTTGGTAAAGGAAACTAACCTGAAAACAATAATTACCCAGTATCAAAAATTTAATTTCGACTTAGAATGTTATAATTATTAATACAAAGATCGAACACTCAGAAAAAATTCCTTCGATCCTGTCGGATTCGAACCGACGTCTTCTTGCATACCGTCGCCAGACGACGCTATCAACTAAGCCACGGAATCCGACTAAGAATTAATATATTAATACTTTCGACTTAGAATGTTAGTTTTTTGTGCGAAAGTAAGAAGAGAAAAAAATATAAGAATATTAAAGGAAAGCTTGTGTAGAGCACAAAAAATATATAATACATTGTAATCGCAATCTCCTCATTCCTTCCCGAAATCTAAACTGACAACAATTGGAATAAAAATGTACGTTAAAATATCACAAGTGTGTTATCAATGAAATAAATAAATGAGAAAAACTATTTTACAAACAAAAAATATGCTACAGAGAGCACTGAGCGAAAGACCTACTTGCACTTAGCAGATCTTTTTCCTAGAAATTCACTTTTTCGAAATTTTTGCTATTAAATTTGCTAATAAAGTATTTATCATCTCTGTAATGTATTACGTAAGATCTTACATACACTCAAACACACTGAGTTTTTCACTTTAAAGCGGTTACACACAGTGACTTTTGCAGCGTTTTTATAGTGATTCAGTCGAGATCATGGACCAATAACTCAAGAGGACTGCTAATCGTCATACAAGATAGCGTAGCCGGGTATTTAGTACCTATTGGTACACTAGATGTCGCGACGATTACCAAATAGCTATTTTGTAACGTTATTTTACATTGACACATTGATTCTATCAAATCTGCTTCTAGTGATAACAAACACGTCAACTAGATGGCGCTATATTTTACCTCAAAATGGATATGCACCTGGAGTCGTATACAAATACATTGTAAAAAAAACAATCGCAACTCACAACGTTTCCATCCTCTAAATAATAACTAGAACACTACTTTGTCTATTCTAATGCCATTTAGACATATTGATAGTTTAGCTTAAAATTATTCATATTTCAATGTTACTGGGTGTAAGAAGCGAGAAAAAACAATGGCTACGGTGATTTTAGGCTGAGAACACCGAACGTGCGAAATAATATTTTTTAATTTTATTTGTAATTCCAAGAAGTATGATATCGCAGATATTGCATTGGTCCCAAAGGGTCATATCGGAACGCCACACAGTGGGCCCAAATTGATAATTCTTGGACATAGGAATGGCTTGTGGAGTATCGAGCAAATTTTTTTTATGTGATATATAATAACATTCCTAACAACTTTTATTCTTGTATGATTTCTTGAAAAGTTGATAGTTTCAGAGAAAAAAAAAATTTTGTATGGACAAATATACATTTTAATTTTTATCTCAAAATATACGAAAATCTAATGTGCGTGGGTTACTTACAGTATAGTTCCCATCATTTTCTATGTAGAAAAAAATAATCCGTCT